ACATTCAGAGTCCCAGGTTTGGGAACATAGCCCAAGTTTTCAGGCTCTTACAAAAGACTAACAGGGTTGGGGCCATTCTGACTTCTGAAGAGGAGAGGAGAGGAGAGGAGAGGAGAGGAGAGGAGAGGAGAGGAGAGGAGAGAAGAGAAGAGAAGAGAAGAGAAGAGAAGAGAAGAGAAGAGAAGAGAAACTACTGTAGAATAAGCTTGTTTTCTGGTCCCTGCCAGCCCACATTCTTTGACTGACAGGATCTGCAACATGTCCATTCTGCTTGGCCTGGTTGGATGGATAGAGACTCTTGGAAAAAGGTGTTCACTCAGGTACTTTGGTCACATAGCATGTAGGACTTTAAAGGTAACCACCAGCATTTTGAATTGCACCTGGAAACATACAGCCCGCATAATCAGTGCAGCTCACGGAGGAGTGGTGTTATGTGTGCTGTTTATCTGGCACCATTTACTATCCATAAGGCCACATTATACACCAGTTGGAGTTTCCAAATGGTCTCCAGGGGCAGCCCCATATGAAGTGTATTGCAGCAGTCTAACCTTTATTAAAAAAAAAAAATTCAGACTGTTTTTTTATAGAACGCACAAAGATGCATTCAATATTAACAGTTAATCACTCTGTAATTTAAAAATTATCAACTCTGGCCATATCTGGAGTAGCAGAATTTTTGATTGCAAATCATGCCCTTGACTGGACTACTGTAATGAGTTTTACATGGCTCTGCCTCTGAAAACCATTCAGAAACTGGAATGGAAGCAGAAAGTGGCAACCAGCTTGTTAGCATGCATGCACTGCTGTTGGCTTATTACACCAATATCGTAGACCCTGCCTTGACTTCCAATTCATTTCACGGCATAATCTGAATCCATAAATATGATGGAATGCCTAATATAAAGGAGGCAGCAAGAAACTAAAGGCAGGAAACAGAGACATTTAAAAAAAGGCTTTTGAGTCCATGGAAGGGAAGGGGAGGAGAAGGAGGAAGTGTGAGAAAAAGCCTCAGAGAAACTTGACTTAATAACTCTAGGTGTAAGTTGTGTGAAATAATTACTTTGGCAGACTTTCAAGGTTGTCTTACATTATCCTACTGGCAATAAAGATCATTTTAGAAATCCAGGTGATACTTGCTTTCCCTGCATACCATCCTTACCAGTGGTGGGTTTCAATTTCATTTGCTACAGGTTTGCTCGTGGGTGCGCATGCGCAGAGACGTCTGGGCGGGTGGGCGGAGCCTCCTGCCACTGCCGCTACCGGTTTGCCCGATCTGGGGTGAACCAATAGCAACCCACAACTGATCCCTACAGACCTGGACAATATGGGTAGCATTTAGCAACTACAATTAGGACTCACAACTTGGTCATTAAGTGAAGCAGCTGCTAAGTGAAACCACAACTGCGCTTAACTGTGTTTAGGATCTTGCTTCAATTTACCTTTGCTTTACTGATCAGCACAAGTTGTAAATGCAAGTATTGGTCACAAAGTTAGTTTTTCATCACCGTTATAACTTGCAAACCATGTTCTATCCTTACATACAGGACCACCCTCTCCAAGAAAAAGCGATTTTTCATTTTCGTGGTTCCTGAGGATGGTGTTCCACTTTTTTCATATACAAAATGTAATGACGCTAATATTAAATGAATAAATATTGGTTTCTATTTTAAAGATGTGGGAAAGAAATAGAACTCAGACAAAGTTTCAGATATTCATTTGAAAAAAGTTATCAATTTCAAAAGCTCCAATTTAAAATTTTAGTGAAGTCCTTTCCTTGCCAATAGTTATTTAAATCAAGTAGAAATAGTCAAAGTACTCGTATATTTTAGAGGAACTAATCCAGTGGTGGAATTCAATTTTTTTACTACCAGTTCTGTGGGTGTGGCTGGAGAAGTATACTGCAAAATCCCCATTCCCTCCCCACTCCTGGAGGAAGGATATTGCAAAATCTCCATTCCCACCCCACTCTGGGACCAGCCAGAGGTGGTATTTGCTGGTTCTCCGAACTACTCAAAATTTCCACTGCCGGTTCTCCAGAACCTGTCAGAACCTGCTGAGTTTCACCCCTGAACTAATCTCTCTATATGATTACACCTGAATAGTTCCCTTGTGAGTTACATACAACTCATACTTCTCCTCAAAAGCAGATCATATTAAAAACTATATAGCATTACCATGAATGTGTCAAATGATTATCTACAGTATAACATTTCCACAAAATAAAAATGTATTGGCTGAAAGGGTGACACAAATCAGGTCATGCTTTATTATTCAGGTATAAAGCTATTAAGATTTTCGCACCCTATTTATATTTTATTTATAGAGCAAATAACTAAAGAGATATCCTTTCCTTTGAGCAGTCCTGTGACTTCTCCATTGAGAGCTTCTTATAAACCAGATTTACCAGTTTTAATATTTAAAAATCAGTTTACTGAAGGTGTAATCTGGCCTTTTGCGGATAAAGCTGTCTTGTATATACTCTTCTCTTTCTTGAAGCCCACATATCATCAGCAAAATCATCAGGAACTACAGCTCCTGAAACCAACCTGATAACAGGAATCCCTAAGTACTAATTTATTTAAAGTTACTGCATTGACAACCTGTCTTTCTTCTGGAGGGCAAATGATCCAAGTAGGTTCTCCATTCATTCTAACCACACAACATTAAGTTGTGAAACTGGTTGGACTCATGTTTTAAGCAATTATGAACAACCATCCATCCTTTTGGGAGTCTCTCCAGGGACCAATTTGTGAAGCCCCCAAAACCTGGAGTCACTATTAGAGAGGGCAATTTTGGTATATTTCTCTAATTCCAGCCCTGATGCCTTCAATTGCTTTTCCTGATTACTGTGATTTATTTGAGGTTTATATCTTGTAGCAGGAGCATGAATCAGGTACAGGAAGACCAGATGATGAATGGATGGAAACATTTATGGCTGCCTCTACTTCTGAAGCATCAGATAATTTAAAGAGCTGGGCAGATTTCTGCCTTGCTACTTCACAGTCTTGTTTGAAAAGAAGACACAATACTAATAGAGCCATACAAATTACCCAAATGAATGGGACTCTAATTATATGAAGATAGTTAGACTGCACATGATAATGGATGTTGGACAAAAATGATGATGGATGAACAGTATATATCAGTGATGGCTAACCTTTTCCGGACCGAGTGCCCAAAGCCCCAAAATGCAATGCGTCCTGCCCCCCCGTGCATGCATGCATGCCCCATGTGCATCCCATCCCCTGCGCGGCCTCATGCATGAGCCCTACCACGCATGAATGCACGCACCACACCCACGCATGCGCCCTGTCCCCACGCATGCATGGCAGAGACCCGAAGATTAGCTGGCCAGTTTTAGGTGCGCGCGCATGCGTAGCAGAGCTGAGCTGGGGCGACGGCTTATGTGCCCAGAGAGAGGGCCCTGCATGCCACCTCTGGCACGCATGCCATAGGTTCACCATCATGGGTATATATACAAGCCTTTCTTATTTCATCCCTGTCATGTAGGGATACCTTTGCAGATATTCATATCAAAGTTCTGAAGGCCTGGAAAGCTGATAGGTTAGAAGGTCTCTGGGTATTCAAACCTAGAGTCTATTCCTGGTTTAGGGTAATGGGCTTGGTAGTTTCCACTGCTACCACTTATTCTCAGTTGGATGTCCATTTCCTAAACCCGGTATGTGTGAAAGACAGCATTTTCACAACCTTTAGCCTTTATGGTAATAACAAGATAATTCTACAAAAAACCAATAATCTCAGTAATGCAAACTCCTGGCCTAGAAATACTGACAGTATGATTTAGCTCTTTCTTCCATCCTCAGCAGAGATAAATAAAATACAATTCTATTTAAAAAGAATAACAAAATAATATAATTTTAACATCAAATGCTAAAAACGCAAGCATTCAATGCTGAAAATAAATAAATAAATAAACTACACAGCTATTGGCAACTTGAGTAAAATGATCTCAAAGAAAATCCAATGCTCCCAACAGATTAGACGATGGTGCTGATTTAATCTGTAACATCAGGAGATAGTTTCCCATTAATATTATTGATTACAAGAAGATCCTGCAGAGAAAAATATAGCTTCTGGAACCCAGTCTGAAATACCAATAAAAATAGTTCCCTGCCTGCAGAGAGAAATATGGAAAAAATCTGACTTATCATCACACACATATCAAACTAAGCACGATATTCTTTGTTGGCTCGTTTACTTATTTCTACTCAAATAGAAGACTTCTTCAAAGCAGATGGAACTATCCTCTCTGCTTCAGAGTTCCTAGACTTTCTTGAGAGGTTCCAAGCTTTCTTCAGAGATTGTTGGGGAAAATGGAAGCCATCTCCCACTCCCTGGTTCCTCATCTAACCTCTTTTCCAGGTTTTTCAGAGTTCTGCTCTTGGTTTTTCCATTAGGGTTTTTATATCTCTGGCAGAGGGATGGGCTCTCCCCTCATAAGAAATGTACTGGGAATGCCTCTTCTACAGCCTGCATGAAGGGCTGCCAACTGATAAGGGAATGCACAGACCGGTGGTGGGTTGCTACCGGTTCGCCCCGGTTTGAGCAAACCAGTAGTAGCGGCGGCGAGAGGCTCTCCCCACCCAACCGGATGTCATCAAATACGCTCTGCGCATGTGCAGAAGTGGTGTGCGTGCGAGCAAACCGGTAGCAAAAGTAAGTGAAACCCACCACTGGCACAGACCTACTGAGGATCCCTGATTTTTAAACCTTACAAGCTCAGGTTGAACATCCATTGTTGAATTCTCCAGGGTAAGAATGTACTTAAAAATACTGGATCAACTAAACAGCAATAACTGTTTAATTCTAACGTATTAAACAGATTTGAGCACAAATTTCAAAACATATTTGGATGCTTTGTAGGTAATCTACACTGAATTAGGGGTGAGCTACACTACAAAATTCTAAAATACATACTCATTGCACATATACAAATAGATGGACATGTCGTATGAACTCTGACACATGGAAAAACTTACCAGCCGGTGCTGTTCCTGTCTTTGGTGCGGGAAGGAGACTCCTGCGGGAAATTGGTGTGCTATTTGACGCCTGCAGTGAAGTTCTATTGACCCCCTTAAGTGCTTCTTTAGATGGTTCAGCTGCCTTGAGAATGATTTGCTCTTCATTTCCAAGGCTTGAACCTGCAGGAAACCAAAATCATCCCAATTAGAACTGCATTAAAAATAGATGTGGCTTGTGCAGAGAAATGATAACATTATTAAGGTCATAGGCAAATCAAAAAGCCTTCTGTTATTTTAAATGATGCTTGTCCTCTGCATACACGGTGAGAGGATTGAGTCAGTTGGGCTCTGTAAATTTTAAATTCTGTTTTTTAAAAAAGGTACCATTTTAAAAGGAAAAATGCTGCTTGCATAAAAGGAAGAAAATAGAAACTGGCGGCAACTACGTACAGGTCAGCCTTTCCTAACCTGTTTCACTCTATCATCATCACAGAGCATTGCAAGAATGAAAACTCAGAACATCCAGATGAGAGTAAATTGGGAAGTCTTATTATTTCTTAAAAATTTTATACCACCGGACTCCCAGGAACTCTATGCAGTTCACCAAAAACAGAGAACAATAAAATACACAAAGAATCCATGACTTAAAACCATAACTGAGCTCAGAATTACAATCATAAGTTGGAAGCCAAGTTACGAATGAATGAAGTTATGACCGTTTTTAAGTGGGTACCATGGTTGTTTAAGGGAGTGTCACTTTCATTAAGCAAATCCATTCTCCCCAAGGAGTGTTTTCTTTTTTTTTCAAAAACCAGAACGCCAGCAAAAAAACATAGCAAATTGCGGTTACAGGATGCTGCAAACTGCCATAAAAGTGAGTTGATTGCCAAGTGCCCCAAAGGTAGCCATGCGACTGTATGTGTGTGTATGTCAGGGGTGGGTTCTAATTTTTTTTACTACCGGTTCTGTGGGTGTGGCTTATTTTGTGGGCATGGCTTGATGGTCATGTGACAATTCTGTAGGATTTAGCAGAGGTACTGGTCTACCAGGCTTTTAACTGCTTGCAGAGCTGTACCGATCTACCCATTTATTTTTTGGAGGCACTGATCTTACTCATGTATTTTTGCAGGCACTGATCTACTCATGTATTTTTGCAGGCACTGGTCTACCCATTTATTTTTGCAGGTATTGATCTACTCATGTATTTTTGCAGGCACTGATCTACTCATGTATTTTTGCAGGCACTGATCTACTCATGTATTTTTGCAGGCACTGGTCTACTCATTTGTTTTCTTTTAACACTGATCAGCTGTAGGGCAGCCCTTTGAAGTCCCGTGGCAAGAGTTTAAACAGTTTTTTTCCCTCTAGCCATCAGCTGGGACTCAGGAGGCAGCAATAGATTGGGGGTGGGGCCAAATAAAAGGTAAGAATAATGCGGGGGTGGGGTGGGGGCGCGGGGGGTGGGGGGGAAGAACCAGTTCGGGGATGTCATATTGTCACTGCTACCAGCTCGGCAGAACCGGGCCGAACCGGGAGGAACCCACCACAGGTGTATGTGTGCGCGTGTGTAGTCATCCTAACTCTGAAACAGGCTGTAAGTGTGCTGCAGCTGCCAAAAAAGCCAAAATGGTCCTAGGCTGCATTAACAGAGGAATAAAATCAAAATCATGTGAAGTGCTAATACCACTTTACAATGCCTTGGTACAGTGCTTCCCCCAAAATAAGACATCTCCTGATAATAAACCCAACTGGGCTTTTGAGCGCATGCTCTTAAAATACCCCCCCCTGAAAATAAGCCCTCCCCAAAAATAAGCCCTCCCCAAAAATATTTAACCATATGTGCAGCCAGTCTCCACCATTTCCTCTGATTAGGGTTAGGGAGACAGAGCTGGAAATCAGGTAAGACAGCAAGAGGAGTCCCGTCTTGCTCCACGCGCCCCAAAATAATAAGACCTCCCTGAAAATAAGGCCAAACGCTTATTTTGGGGTTTAAAAAATATAAGACAGGGTCTTATTTTTGGGGAAACACGGTAAGAACACACTTGGAATACTGCATCCAGTTTTGGTCACCACAATCTAAAAAAGAAGTTGAGACTTTAGAAAGAGTACAGAGAAGAGCAACAACAACAAAACAAACTCCATATAAAGAACAGTTGATAGAATTGAGTATGTCTAGTTTAATGAGAAAAAGGACTCGGGGTGACATGAGAGCAGTGTTCCAATGTCTAAGGAGTTGCCATAAAAAAAAGGGAGTTAACCTATTCTCCAAAGCCCCTGAAGCAGGGGTGAAATGTAAAATTTGTTACTACTAGTTCTGTGGGCGTGGCTTGGTGTGGGGGGGTTAATGTGACTGGGTGGGCATGGCCAACTTTTTTTTTTAAACTTTTCAAAGCATTTTTTCTAATGCTTTGAAGAGCCTCTGCCGATCAGGCAACTCAGCTGGGATCGTCAGAGACTTTTCAAAGCATTTTTTTTTACCACCTCTTTGGCCAAGAGGTTGCAGAAAAAAATGCTTTGAAAAACCTCTGACGATCCCAGCTGAGCCGCGCGATCATCAGAGGCTTTTTTTTTTTAACTTTTAAAAGTGTTTTTTCGTTGGAAGAGGTTGTAGAAAAAATGCTTTTAAAAATAAAAAAAAAAACTTCTGATGATCATGCGGCTCAACTGGGCATGGTATGGGGCAGGGGTGCAGGGATTTTCGCTACCTGTTCTCTGAACCACCCACCGCCATCGCTACTGGATCAGGCGATCCGGTCCGAACCAGGAACATTTCATCCCTGCCCTGAAGGCAGGACAAGAAGCAATGGATGGAAACTAATCAAGGAGAGAAGAAACCTAGAACTAAGGAGAAATTAAAACAAACCTATATTACCCAGAAAGGGACTTTAATCACAGAGGGAAGGTGACAACTTAGTGGTCTCCAAAGGTTTGGAGTACTAGTCCTCCTATGATCGTGGTCATGCTGCCTGGGGGTAATGGGAGCTGCACTAGGGAGGGTACAAGCTTGCTTGCCTGCAGTATTTCACAAAGTTTACAGCTTCCTTTAAAAGGAAACCACGTGAATCTTAATTGAAAATAGAGCATCTAAAACCTATGTGCATTCCTGAAAACACATTTGACCTTTAACCAATCACATTAAAAATTGAAAACAAAAGGAATCCAACTATGTTCAAAAGAGAAGCAAAATCACAAGCTAATGAGTAGTCAGGAACAGGAGTAAATCTTTTTAATGTTTAACAATGATAGTTTATTGCAAGATAATAATCATGCACCATGAATTAACAGCCAATAATTAAACCTGGCCCTCTTAAGTTACAATGGAGATTTTATAACTGTCTTGTTATTTACCTACCTCCACTTAGATTTAAACAGCACGACAGTAATTTATCCTAGGAAACTGGGTATTTCTCTTTCTGTCTCTCTCTGTTTTGCAGCTCAGGCCTCAAACAGACAGGTTGTGCAGAATTTTCAGTCTCCAAATAGGTTTCTTGGAACAAATTATATACGGTTCCCTGACAGCTCTTCAAATAATTTAGCCCCAGGTTTCTTATCTAGTTCTAGATAATAGCAGGGGATTTAATTTATTGCACATGAATATAACAGTAAAGGCTTCTGAAGGATATTTTTTAAAAATGAATTCAGGCTATGGATTATTTTTACAAGGCCAACCTGTCCTGGTAGTCAAATGAGCAACTTACATCTATACCCCAATTTCTACAACCAAAATATTTCCACGGTTAGCTTTGGGGATGATTTTTACCATCCATCTAAACATTACGTCACTTGAGGTTCCTTATAGAGCAGTGATGGCTAACCTTTTTGCCATCACGTACCAAAAGTGGGGGGGGTGTGGGGGGGGTCGCATGCGTGCGTGCCCATACCCATAATTCTTTGCGCCCATCCCTCTGCACATGTGCATGTGACCCACCTGCACTTCCCCGCTTTTGGCATGCAATGGCACAGTGGGCCCGGTAGGCCCATTTTTCGCCCTCCCCAGGAGCCTGGGGGGGGGGCGGAAACAGCCTTCCCCACCCCCCCAGAGACCTTCTGGAGGCCAGAAATAGCCCATTTGCTCACTTCCGGTGGGACCGGAAGGCCTGTTTTTTGCTCTCCCCAGGCTCCAGAGCCTTTCTAGGAGCCTGGGGTGGGCGAAAAGAGCCTTCCCCTCCCAGGCCCTCTGGAGGCCAGAAACAACCTGTTTCCCTCCTTCCGGTGGGCCCAGAAGGCCCCAAAATTGGCTGGTCGGCACACGCATGCACGCCAGAGCTGAGTTCGCATGTCCACCGATATGACTCTACACACCACCTGTGGCACATGTGCCATAGGTTCGCCATCACAGTCATAGAGGCATTGGCAGCCATCCCTGAAAATTTGGTTGGTTGTTTCCTTCGGTGATTGACAGATAGAGCTCCCCAGAGCAGATGGCAGATTAAATGCTTTTCTCTGAGGACCTTGAAGGCTATAGTCCATATCCCTCACTAGTGCCTTTCTTGCTTCAGTGAAACCGATAGTGTGCTTAGAACCAGGTATTGTGTATGAAATAGACATGGGCACCACCACTGATGGATATTACTCTTGGGTAATTGCGCAGGAAGACCTTACTTATAATATTTCTCTCTCTGAAGACTTTCAGACTGTTGTTTAGATAAGTGCTACTCCTTATATAACAGCAAGAGACAAAAGCAGTGGGCAGAAAACAGCAAGAGAAATGAGACAAAGAAGATAGTAGTTTCATCCTGCCAGCTGAGGGACGACATTCAGCAGTGTCTCTGCATGACAATTTCTGTATGTCATCACCTTAGATAGGTTCCCCACAGAAATCTTAAACTATTTTTTATAAGTAAGTTTTTAATTTTATTTTACATATACATATCAGTGCATGAATAGTGTAGCACCTTGTGCTACATTCTAATACAAATGAAAGTAGTAAATTAATTCTAGTTATTACATTCAACCAACTTATATATTTCTAATAATAATAATACATATTAAGTTGTAGTTTATCATTTTAATTATTCCATATGTTTATATATTGCTCTAATGCCACTCATCATATTATTTGATTGTACATAATAATACTGCCATTCAGTTTCTAAGCTTCCCTCTTCTTACTGCTTTTGTTTTATTATGTAAAGATGTATACACTGATATTCCCCCTTTCTCTTATTTCTATCTCTACT